GTGAGGATCAGTTTTCCATTTCTGACTGTGATCTGCGTGTTGGTTCCCCCCAGCTGTAGGTACAACTGCCTAGGAGTACCTTGATTGCAATGGCAGACAGTTCCTCACCCCAGGCATCTCAGACCAGTGCCCCCCCCGCACAAGCAAAGCGCAGATCAGAGGAATTGGACGTGGGGGGGGAAGAAAAAAGCTAAAACCAAACATTTGTCTTCTAAAGATACCTCCAAGTCAGCCGGGTGAGAGGCCACAAGGAGACACCTAGCACTGGAGAGAGAATTCTCCAAGGCACAAAGGCTCAGGTCCAGTGGGGCTGAAATGGTTTCCCCCGCCCCACTGGACGCCCCTTTGTCGGAACCTCAATTTGAATCATCGCAGGATGCCCCAAGGCCTCGGTCTCCTCAGGGGGAAACTGAGCAGGTTGGTCCTCCTCGTTCCTCCCCTTCACTGTCACACCATACAACTGAGAACAGGCGTGCCTCAACGGAGGTTGGGGCCAGCTCCAGGGACCAAGGGGAAATGTGGTCCCAGGCTCAATTCCAGGCCTTTATGCACCATGCATTCAGGCAGTTTATGTTATCCACTGAAGGCAGACAGGTGCAGTCGCATCCTACTTCTCCCACTTCCATTCCCCCACCTCGGGCGGAGTGTGGCACTAGACCTAGCTCCAATGTTTCGGAAACCTCCTCACAATTAGGGGAGGAGGGGTCAGTGGAGCGAGGGGTAGCAGACACTCCTTTGTCTGAGGAGGAGGAACCAACACCTGAGCAGGTGACCTCTTCTGGTCTCTTTGATCCGTCCGTTTTTCGGTCTCTCCTCATAAAGGCCATTGACACGGTAAAACTTACCTCGGCCCAGGAGGAGGCACCATCTTCCTCAGCCAACCGGGAAGCAAACCCCTTGTTTGCGGAAAAGGTCAAGGAGGACCCGCAGATCCCATGTCCACTAGTCTTCAAGACTACAGTGGAAAAGCAGTGGGCTTCACTAGCTACCACGCCTTCCCAGAGCAGTTTGGACAAGAAATTTTACAATGTCTCTTCTTCTTTCGCTTCTCTTCTAGAAATTCCATCTATGGATGTTCTGCTGACTTCTCTGTTCTCCAATACAGCAGTTTCTGGGGACATGGCTGAATTCTTGAAGGCTGAGGACAAAAAGTTCGAGTTCTCCTTTCGTAGAGCTCACCAATCTTCAGCTTGGGCCATAAGGGCGGCAACCTCTTCCTCCTTCTTTGCACGTTCAGCGATCATGTGGATGCAGGAACTCCAGGCGCTCATTCCGCCAGATCAGGTCAGAGCGCACCAAGCAATAGGCAAAGTCGTGGCAGCATCCGAATATATTGCGGATGCTTCCTTGCACTCGGCCAGATGTTCGGCCAGATCTATTGCTGCCTCAGTGGCTTCACGCAGGCTGCTCTGGTTGAAGCAATGGCACACTGATTTAAAGGGAAAGTGGCGCCTAGCAACATCTAAGTACAGTGGCACCCACCTTTTCAGCCCAGTGCTAGAGCCTCACATTATTGAAGGGAAGGACAAGCGCAAGGTGATGGCCCATCCCTCCAAAAAATTGGATAGACGGCCCCAGCAGGATTATCATAGACCAGCATTCCGTCCCAGTAGCTCCTGGGACTGGAGACAGCCCTTTCGGGCAGGGCAACTACGGACGCTTGGGTCAGGGAGACAATAAGAAGGGGTCTCTCTCTAGAGTTTCGATCTTCTCCCCCAGATCGTTTCATACAGTGCCCGGTTTCAAACAATACTTCAAAATCACAACTAGTCACGACAGCCATCACACATTTATTAGAGATCAGAGCCATAGAAAGGGTTCCTCAGGACCAGATCGGGGAAGGGTTCTACTCCATCCTGTTTGTAGTTCCCAAAGCCTCAGGCGGTTGGAGGGCAATACTGGACCTAAAAGGTCTAAATTACTTCCTCACTTACAGGAAATTCAAGATACAGACCCTAAAGTCCATCTTGGCAAGTATCAGGAAGGGGGATTTCCTTTCCTCCATCGACCTGACAGAGGCTTACCTACACATTCCGATCATCCAGGAACACCGCAGGTTCCTGCGGTTCTGTTACGCACGCAGTCACTACCAGTACCGAGCTCTCCCGTTCGGCCTATCATCTGCCCCGAGGGTCTTTACAAAAGTCTTGGCCGTGCTGGCAGCTCATCTAAGGATGAAGCCCATATGGGTACAGTGCTACCTAGACGACATACTGATACAGTCCAAATCTTTCCGATCAGGTCAGTCGGACCTGGCAATCACAATTCAAACACTTCAGGATCACGGGTTTTCCGTGAATTTCAAAAAGAGTCACACTACCCCCACAAGATGCCTGCTCCATCTGGGAGCATTGATAGATTCCAGTCTATGCAAGGTATATCCAGCCTATGCAAGGAGCGTCAAGTCAGCATTCGGAAGCTGGCTCAGCAGATCCGAAGAGAAAAGAGGGTACCACTGGTACAACTATCCCAACTCCTGGGGAAGATGGTCTCTTGCTTGGGCATTGTTCCATGGGCCAGGCTACACTCCAGGAACCTCCAGTGGTTCCTCCTTCCCTTTCAAAGACACAAAGTCAGTGCCTCCAACAGGAAAGTCAGGGTTCCCCATCACACTCTGACCTCCCTTCTATGGTGGACTTCGCCTTGAGCAAAGGTACCCTTTTCAAGGAACCTCCCAGAATTACCCTGACCACAGACGCCAGTCTGTTTGGTTGGGGGGCACATCTTCAGAGCCACATAGCTCAGGGTCAGTGGTCCAGTTTGGACCTGACACACAACATAAATTGGCTGGAGCTCAGGGCCATCCACCTGGCTCTCCAAAGGTTTTCTCCCTTTGTGTCAGGGAAACACATGTTGGTCCTGACAGACAACATTGCGGCCAAGGCTCACGTAAACAAACAAGGGGGGACCCACTCTTGGTCACTCATGCAGGAAGCCCTGGCCATAGGACTTTGGGCAGAGTCCACTCTGAGTTCCATCAGAGCGGAACACATCTCGGGGGAGGCGAATCAACAGGCAGACTCCCTGAGCAGGGCCACAGTGGATCACTCAGAGTGAAAACTGGACTCAGATCTGTTCAGGGAAATATCACACAGGTTCAGGCAGCCCATCTTAGATCTCTTCACCTCCCCAAACAACGCTCAGCTCCCCAGGTTCTTTTCCCGGTTCCCATCGAGGGGGGCGGAGGGAACGGACCCCCTCCGGAGCAGATGGGCGGAGGGCGTACTTTATGCCTTCCCTTCTCTTCCACTACTACAAGCAACTATCCGCAAGCTCCTCCAGGAACAGGCGGAGCTGATCTTAGTTGCTCCATATTGGCCAAGACGCCCGTGGTTTGCCGACCTGGTGGACCTGTCGCTCTCACCACCATGGAAGATTCCCCCGGACCAAGTAGCTCTCAGCCAGGGGAACCTCCATCATCCGGACCCGCAGTGGCTTCAATTAGCCACTTGGCACTTGAGCGGGAGAGTCTAGCCAAACAGTTTTTCTCCTCTGAGGTTATCTCTGTCATCCAGGCCTCGCGGCGTCCCTCGACCAACAGGATCTATGACGCCACTTGGAGAGGTTTCTGCTCTTGGTGTACAAAAAAGTGACTTTCGCCGCTTGCTGTCACCATTCCAGACATATTGGACTTCTTACTTGAGGGGTTAACTAGAGGTCTTAACCAGTACCGTACGTCGGCAGTTAGCTGCCTTGTCGACGGTCCTCACCTGTGACAACCAAGTTTCCCTGTCTCAACATCCAGCAGTTAGTGCCTTTCTCAAGGGCGCGGCCAACGTAGGGACACCTACGGTTCATCGTTACCCATCCTGGGACCTGTCCAGGGTGTTACAGGCCTTAGTTTCTCTTCCATTCGAACCTCTGAGCACTTGCTCCTTTCACTTCCTTAAAACTGAAGGTGGCCTTCCTAGTGGCCATCACGTCGGCCAGGAGAATTTCAGAATTGGCTGCCTTATCGGTCAGGGAGGACTTATGCACATTCCATGAGGACAGAGTGGTCCTCAGGCTGGATCCTGCATTCATTCCTAAGGTCAATACAGGGTTTCATCGTTCTCAGGACCTAGTCCTTCCTAACTTCTGTCCTAACCCTTCCCACCGTCTGGAAAGACGGTGGCATACCTTGGACGTGCGCAGGGCCCTGCGCCATTACATTAAACGAACCTCGGTCTTCAGGAAATCTGAGGCATTATTTGTGTCCTTTCAGCCCTCTACCATGGGTTGGAAGGTCTCTTCCTCTACTATTGGGCGGTGGATTAGGGCGTGTATTTCCAGGGCTTATATTTCTCAGTCCCTTCCAGTCCCTTCACATATTACAGCTCACTCTACACATAGTGCTGCTGCCTCGGCGGCCTGGTCTACCCAAGCATCACTCGAGGAGATTTGCAGGGCAGCGACTTGGTCCTCTCCCTCCTCATTCATAAAACATTACAGAATAGATCAGTTTGCAGCAGCGGAGGCTGCTTTCGGAAGGAGAGTCCTACAGCGAGTGGTTGGTTCTCAGGGGACACAAACCTAGACTTCCCTCCCTGTAGGGACATGAGCAGCTTTGGTGTGTCCCAATCAGTGGATTCTACATCCATTCTGATGGAGAAAAGAGTGTTGTCTTACCTGAACGCTTTTTCTCATCAGGATGGTGTAGAATCCACACCCACCCTGTTAGTGTTAGTCTAGGCATGCATGTTTTTGTTTGGAGCCTTGCGTCTGGATGCTTCGCCTCGAAAAAACTGGGGAAAGTCACACCCAGAAGGAGGCGTGGCAAAGTTTTTTTGTTTCTTAGTCTGAGCAGGAGGGATTAAATTACCCAATCAATGGATTCTACACCCTCCTGATGAGAAAAAGCATTCAGGTAAGACAAGGCTCTTTTCACTTTGCCCTCACTGCTGATATAGCATTCAAATATAAAATGTAAAAAAAAAAAGTGAGTATACATAACTGCATCTATTATAGGTTTATGTTTCTTGGTAGGAAAGTAATGTTGAAAATAATCCTATTTAATGTAGGTTTAGAACGTTATTTGTAGCCGGTGAACGCTGTGATGTGGATACATTAGAATGGTGCAAAAAGATTTTCAAGGTACCAGTTTTGGATCATTGGTGGCAAACTGGTGAGTACCTCTTGAAATTTTTGTTTCAGATTAGTTCACATGTGGGGCACCTTAAATAAGTTTGTATTTTTTTATTAATTTGGATTCCTTCTTATAGCTACTTATTGTCTTCCCACTTCATTTTGGTTTCTTTTACTATATCTGTACCTTCTATTGTCTTGATTTATTGTGTTTATGTAAGAATCATGAATTAACTGGATACTATTATCTTGGGAAAACAAAAGATTAATATGCGCTTATTTAGTAGAAAAATATTTCTCTTATCTGTATGTAAAATGGGAAGGACTAGAGCTGAAATACACCAGTAGGAGAACTCCAGCTATGTAAAAATTACATATAGTAGATTTTTTTTTCTCCTATCAGTTGAACTACACCTCAAAACTGGTAACAAATGTTGGGAGAAAATAGCTACCAGTTGCAATCTGATAGGTATTTGAAAAAAGGTAGAGTTTTAAATGGGGAGAGCACTGGCCTTGGAGAAAGTGTCTCTGAAAAATGAGTTTTCTGATGCCAGTTACATCTCTTTATCTAATCCAACCCATCAGTAACCATTTGGATTATTTGAGAGATTGCAGAGAGCAAATTCACCATCCTTTGCCTTTGGTCCCAATATTGCCATGAGGTTGAACACATAGAAAACATAGAAGTGATGCAGTTTCCCTCATGCATTGAATCATGAGTACTTCTTGAATAGTTTTGTTGTCATAGTTCATCCTGAAAGACATGGAGCCATTGCTGCAGCTGTTCCTTTGCTTCATCCAACTCAAGTGGAAGAAAAAAAAAAAGTCAACCAAACTCCAGCCATGTGTTTATTAATGATTTATCTATATTCACTGGCCAGAGTGTTGATTTAACAGTAATGAACAGAAGCTTTATGTTGTCACGATGTTAGAATATGCTGCAATTCACCACTGAGAAATGACTATTGAGAGTCTCTGTGAATTGGCTTCAAGGAGATTTTGCTATAAAAACAAACAAACATTCTGGATGAAACTGAGTAGCAGCTGAAGTGCCAGTTATGTCTAGAATGGGCTGGGTAGAGGCCCTCTGCTCCATCTGATTATTCTCAGCTTATAAAATAAAAATGGAAGTTGTTCAGAAATGCTGCCCAGGGCAAAGATACCCAGGCCATCTCAGACACATGGGTGTCCATTTTTTTTTTTGAAAACCTCCAATGATGGACCACCTATAATTCCAGGAAGCAAGCTGTGCCACTGTTTAATAGCTACTCATGATCAAGAAATTTATCCTGGCTTTGGGTTTGAATCTCTCTAAAGCGTTCACCCCTTGGTTTTGTCCTGGTCCTCAAGCACTACAGAGAATATATCCACATCCTCTTAAATAGATGATCCACAACAACTATCTCTAGAGCCATCTAAAATACCAAATGACCCCAATAAATAGATCTCTATAGTTCCTCAATGTATTAAATTTCTTCCTTCCCTTCCATTAAGTCAAAGCTTTCTTACTGCTGTGCTCATTATTGCTGGTCACTATAATTAATTTTACAGCATTCCTCAATGTACTATTAGCAGGACAATTTATAGAGGACAAGTGGAAAAATATGTACCAGGGTTAAAATACAGCACAGTTCATAATATTACCTGTTTAAAGTATCTGAAGGAGCTGCAGCTGGAACTGACATGTGAACAAGAATGTATAACAAATGGCAGAACTGGGGATTTTTTTCATAAAGCTTAGGAGAAACTCTATGAAGCAGATTTATGTGTAGTCTTACTAAATGGAGGATTACGTGGGATTACACATAATTAAGTAGAGATGTTTAAGAATTTGAACTAATTAAGTAGAGACTAATTAGTATAAATTCTTAAAGGTAGCTGGTAGTGGGGAATAGCCAAGTAACTGGGAATCAGGCAGATACAAATTGAATAAAATTGAATTAATAAAATAGACAAAGGATACATACATTTATATGTATGATTTACTATCATGTGTAATACAGAAAAAAAAGACATTTAGTTAACTTACCTGGTAATAACACTTAGGTTAGTATACTGTGAATCCCACTTTAAAAATAAAAGTGATGAAAAGATTTTGCCAAATATAGAGTTAAAGGAGACATTATAGAAATTGTAGGGTTGGGTGGTTTTTGTTTCTCAATTGTCCAAATAAGAAGATTGCATTTATTTAGTGAGAGAGGCCAGAATGTTTTGAAAACAATACTATATGTCCATTTTCTTTCGTTTCTTCTGGGATTTTTAATGGTGATGATACAAATCTTACCTGGGAATCACCATTTATTTCAGCCAGCTTTTCAAAGTGCTGTCAAAATTAGAAAAATGCATGTTCCCACACCACCCCAATTTCAATACCTCTCTTGGTAGCCCAGCCTTATTCCTCTGAAGGTATTTCCACATGCATTTTTTCTCATTTCTTCTAATTTTGGAACGGCATACGTATGGCATCACTTTCTTCTGAAACTGTGTGTATTAAGCATGAATCTAGTGTTTCTTTCCAAGCTCCCTCCTTCCCTCGTGCAAATGCACTGACTGCAGCAAAAGGAAGACTAATCTAAGTTCAAACATGGATCTAATCTCAAAATAATTTTAAGGTGTGCTAAAGGAGAGAGAGATGGTGGGGAAGTTTTTTCAATCTCATTTGTATAAACGAGAGAAGCTCTGACTGCCATTAGTTTTATATGTTTCTCTGAAAATGTTACAGTTGCTGATGTCATTTCTGTTGCCTAGCAACAGCTTTTTCCCTTGTTCTGTGACTAGAGTCTCATTAGATGACGTAGATATTTATACTGATGGTTTGTGAATAGGAAACAGAGAATTAAACTCCCTGAATTTGTCTTGTAGAAAGAATAATCCTTTGATAGATTTAAGGCAGTCCTGATGGATCTTTTCCTGGAGAAAGAGTACAAAAGAGGTTATGAAACACTAATCCTTGCTGTAGATGGTTTTTCACATATTTAAAAATAGCAGATGTCTGATATGTTCTCTTTTGTCTAGAGTGGTCTACTGACATTAAAGCAGACAATGCTTTTTTGGAAGCAGTTACATTGTAAATGTTTAGCGCTAATATATGAGATTCTTTTGTGTTAATCATCTGCATCTTGTCCATTGAACATCAGTTGTTAAGTACCTTAAAGGTGGAAATGAGTAAGATGTTTTGATTCTATTCAAAATGGAAAAAAAAATAAAGATTTTCATTCAAATGCTGTGATATGTTGGTACACGAGACAGTAAAAAATACTGGCAATAGTCTTCAAGTTATTTCTGTTCTTTGCCTTAACAAGTCATCTCTGTTTATCTTCTCCTTTCCAAAATACAGCTGTAATCAAGATCCTCATTGCTTTTTTCTCCATTCTGTAGGATGTGCTATGAAAGAAAAGTTTCGCTTTCAAACTGGGAAGTTAAATAAGTAAAATAACCATTTCAGCTGTCTGAATTTTAGGAAGTAACTAATTCAATGATGCCACTCAGTGTATAAACACAATAGGATGAAAAGCAAGACAAAATATCTTGTTTGCCATTATTCCTATAGATTGTCCTGCTTAATTAATAAAAATATGACTCCAGATCCTTAAAACTGGTATTCTTCAATGTTTTTCCAGATTAACTATCTTTAACAACAGACTTAGTAATCTAGCTAAACAGATATTTCTTTGGCTTGACATTAGTCTGTTCCTTTTTCATGTTCCATTTATTCTGTGGACCTGCTAGACATTAACTTCCAAGAATACAGCTGGATTTTTTTGGAGGGGAGGAGCATATGCTGGCTCTAACTCATAAAATTGTACAAAAGCTCAAGTATTGTGTTATGTGGAGATGGGCATGTGCTTTCCTACTAGGAAATATTTTAATACAGGGAATGAAGTTTGGATGTTTTAAATCATTGAAACTGTATGGGGGGGGGAGAAGAGAGAGAGAGATTGAAATTTGTGTCCATGTGGCAAATCAAATGTGTTGCCCTGATGATGCCGGCAGGTGACGGCGAAAGCTTGGCGTTTTTTAATTAAACTTTTTATAGTTTTAACTACCGTGGTGTTCATTTTATTTTTTATATATATATATATATATATATATATATATATGTGTGTGTGTGTGTGTGTGTGTGTGTGTGTGTGTGTGTGTGTGTGTTTTCTGAGGTTTTCGCGGGTGTTTGTATGTAGGTCTTTGGTTGTTCAGGTTTTCTCCCGCATAAAATTGGAAGTGTCTTGGCGACGTTTCGACGAAGTCCCATTCGTCATCTTCAGGCTGGTGTTTTCAGCTTCGTGCTTTCTCTGTTCAGAACATCATGTCCTTTTTACAAGAAATCTTCACGTATGCATTAGCTACAAGATGCTTAAAGAAATGTGTTGATACTCTAGTGGCCAGTCAGCAGGAACCAATAGGTTCTTAAAATTCAATAGGTTCAAACCCAGTTGAAATGGCCAAAGAGGATTTGATTGAATAAATAGAAGAAAATTAATATAGAAAGAGGTAACAATCTACATCCCTTCAACATGTCAGGAACTCCAGGAATGGCAATGACAGAACTTTTGGAGCTGACAGTTGTGCAGGACCTTATCGAGGTTCAGATTCTTTACTGGCTTTTGCCACTTTCCAATAACTTTAAGAGACAGGAAATATAAACAATAAAATCTGGAGATGGCTTGGCAGCCCCTCTTAATTAGGGACTTTTTTCATAACTAGTGGAATCTTTGCCAAGAATATTTTTAAGGAAAACCAGATTCTTAGCAGATAGCACTTTTGGGCTGCCTGATTTGGGTTTCCTAATTACATATCTTGTCAATACCTTGAAAACTTTGCTAAGTGATCTTGTGAAAACATTGTTCTTAGTAATTGTTCCCCCTTTTATTGACAGATGTCTTCATTTAGGAATTAGATGAGGGAGCTGGCATTGTCCTCTTTATCATAATAGTTACAAGCAATGATACAACTATGGGATAAACAAGATTGATTAACAAGAATGGAGTTCGCAGAACATGCTGAACAACTTCTAAATTCATGTATGGAGGAATTTGTAACTCA